TAATTAGCAGATGTCTATTAAGCATAAGTTCAGTCATGAAATTCTTAAAGCTGTGCTTAAATTCAGCACTTCACATTCAAAAGGGACTTTATATAAAGAGACAGATAAAGTAGACATGGGATCTCCAGTATCGCCGATCGTTGAAAATTGATCTTCATAAGTGAGTAAAATTGGCTTATCTGCAGAATTCGAAGTCTTTAGAAAGCTGCATGCTCCATTTCCGACGAATGTAGAGAAATATGCCACAGTATTAACATACTCAAAATCTTTTTCGGTTATAGTCCAGGTTTCGAAACTTTCCATATGATCCTCAAAAGCATCAAAATTTGAATGTATGTTCAACTGTTTAATTGCAGGCTCCATCGCGACGTCAAGTATTTGAATTATAGGAATTCTAGAAATAACGCAATTTATTCAAGAAGTATTAGATAAACACGAACGAACGTATTTTATTCTGAATTCAAAACCAGACAATCATCACGTACAAAGTAGTTATTAACTCGTGCAAATACCACAGACTGACGGCATTGTCGTTATTACAGATCCTTAAACCGTCAAACCTTACCAGACATGTATCACAGCTTCATATCCAAGATTTTACCAACGGTTTATAAGGTTTGATCATATATACTAAAATTGAGTTGGTCAAGGCATATCGCCATGTTCCACTAGCTGATTGTTCGAGTTTGTGCGCATAGTGTTAAGCCTGAGAAATGCAGCACTACCATTTCAAAGATTTATGGATTACCTACTTTGGGATATGCCATTTGCACAGGGGTTTATAGACGGTTTTTCAAATTGTCGGTCTCGATTTACAGTCACAAGAACAGCATGCGAGAGCGTTGTTAAAACGGCTGGATGAAAATGGAATGTGTGCTTTTGATGTTAGAACTCTCGAGCACAGAATAAGCCCAGAAGGTGTTATACCGATTAAAGAAGTGAACATCATTAGACACGACCCCATACCTAGTCCGCCAAGTTTTCTAGATCCAATAAACTTTCATCGAATATTCATACCCGGTTGTGCACAATTAACGCGACCTTCGACAGATACCCTTAAAGAAAAACCAGAAGAATTCAAGCTGAATTCTTAGGCTGTTGGGGCTATTAAACAGATGATAGATAAACTGGCTCAAGCATCTACAGTGATGTATCCGAATTCCCTATCCTCATTTTCATAGTGGATGCCTCGGACAAAGCAGCAGGCGGAACCCCGAACCAGTTAATTATAAACTCTCAGAAACCAATTTCTTTCTTCTCAAAAAGACTGGCTCTAGCAGAGAAAAAGTATTCTACCTTTAAACGAGAACTTTTCGCAGTCTATCTAACCATTAGGTATTTCCAGAACATAGTGGAAAGCAGGAAATTTATAGTTTATACGAATCACAAATCACTAACCCATGCACCAAAAGGGAGAGCCGATACATACTCCCTTCGAGAAGATCGACACCTTGACTATGCATCACATTTCACAAGTGATATACGACGTGTCAAAGATCACGAAAGGAGACGGAGACGCATTATCTCGACAAGAATAAATTGCTAACAGTTCCCTTCGGAACGTGTTAATAATAATAATACATTTTTGCATGTGCAGGTACACACCGTTTTCACAGGCATGATCTATAAATTATAACATTTGTTGGTTCACAAAATGTTTCCCAACTTATTAAGTTTATAGTTGTTATAAAGTGAAATCGTAGAGCGCTTGCTGTAAACTATGACCTTGGGAGGACGCGTACAATTTTGTTCCAAACGTCAGAAGTTTTATAGCTGTGCTCTCAGAGCAAGATTCTGAAGAAGAAGGAAAGAAAAACAGAAGAGCAGCAAGGCGATTGGATATGAACGCCAAATGTTGCTTAACATTGTGTAGTAGAACAGACAGAGGTATAATAAATTAGAATAAATTCATATTATGTCTTGTTAGAGTGAAGTGAAGTCAAAGGCTCCATATTAAAGAATGTACTAATAAAGAACAATGAGTTGTGATGTTTAACAAGTTGGGGTGAGCTCACATGAAGGGAGGGAAGTCAGGGTTGGTACAAGGGAAGCGGTTTATAAGAAGGGTGCGTATATAGAGAGTGAAGTGTTAAGAATATTAATGACTACATCTTTTATTGTCTAACTTTTTTTTCTTTTTTTGTTTTTCCGATGCCAGCCACACAATCCTAGTGTAAAAAGCCGAGTTAGCATGTTATGGGTTGTCTTAGTAGAATAGCTAATCCAGCATAATATTGGAAACATGAGTTTGAGTGGTGAGCGTAGGAAAACAATCTATATCACAGATTGGTTGAATTGTTCTCAGTCATGAGGAGCCTGATACATACAAAATGTTCTGTCCCCACAAACATGGGTGGATTGAAGTTATCGCCCTCACCATCAATGCTTGCTGGTCAGTAACTCCACCCTCCCTTCTTTTGTGATGTTAGGCTCATTTAGGCTTATTTTTGTATATACGTCATACCTCACACAATGCTCTGTTTCACAACCTGTTGGAAAGCATTATTTCTACAAGTACCATTTTACAAGCTTATCAGACAGTTACAAGCTATGGACTGTGGGTAAAGCATCGATGCAGTGCCTCTGTTGATTATAGTATAAAGTATAGTTTGCCAATCAGAGTATAAGCGTTAAGAAGGGTATCTTGTAGGATAGTTGTTTATTTAAGCAGGCGGGAAAACTATAGAAGTATATGAGTTGTGGATAAGGGAACGAGTGGAGAAATAATATTAATTGCTAGTCAACATAATGTACAGAAGAGTAAAAAGTTAATACAGGATAAACAGGAAGGAACTCACAGTAACTTGGTACTGATGTTATTTTCTGTTGTCCTAACCAGTTGATTGGTAACAGGCTCCATAGATGCAAGACCACTGGTAGTAGGCAGCCGATTGTGCGGTTCTCTTGACTTTTTAGGGTGGTAGTGAGTGTCCCTTATCGACCGAGCTTAGTTTAACAGTAATGATAGGTCCATTGAGTTACCTGTCTACTTCAAGTGAAGAAATAGGGTGGAAAAAGTAATTAATACAACTGCAAAGTAGGAAAATAAGGCAAACTGAACTTGAAGTCCATTTTGATCTAGACATGGAGAGAGCCTATGATGTCTGAGTGGGGCGCAGATGTGTTCGTACGTGCAAGTGAGGGTTTGATCAAGCAGTTTTACAAACGTATGTAATTCATCTGCCATGCGAGTTTCGGAGGAAAGACTGTTCCATATTATTGCATACTTGGTTAGGAAGAAGTTTTCCCGAGTTTTTGATCTGTATTTCTCAACTTTGACCGTAGATACTTTGTTTCTAAGTCCGTATTCATGTGAATCTTGGGCAAGAATTATCTTACATCTTAATACAGGATTAACAGGAAGGAACTCACAGTAACTTGGTGCTGATGTTATTTTCTGTTGTCCTAACCAGTTGATTGGTAACAGGCTCCATAGATGCAAGACCACTGGTAGTAGGCAGCCGATTGTGCGGTTCTCTTGACTTTTTAGGGTGGTAGTGAGTGTCCCTTATCGATCGAGCCTAGTTTAACAGTAATGATAGGTCCATTGAGTTACCTGTCTACTTCAAGTGAAGAAATAGGGTGGAAAAAGTAATTAATACAACTGCAAAGTAGGAAAATAAGGCAAACTGAACTTGAAGTCCATTTTGATCTAGACATGGAGAGAGCCTATGATGTCTGAGTGGGGCGCAGATGTGTTCGTACGTGCAAGTGAGGGTTTGATCAAGTAGTTTTACAAACGTATGTAATTCATCTGCCATGCGAGTTTCGGAGGAAAGACTGTTCCATATTATTGCATACTTGGTTAGGAAGAAGTTTTCCCGAGTTTTTGATCTGTATTTCTCAACTTTGACCGTAGATACTTTGTTTCTAAGTCCGTATTCATGTGAATCTTGGGCAAGAATTGTCTTACATGTTGAATAAGTAAGGTTTTTGAGTAGTTTGAAGTAGAGAATCAAATTAGACCCAAGCTTTCTCTTCCAAAGTGGTGCTATTCCTAAAATTTGTCATCGGGAACTGTAGTCAATGACCGAGTCAGTCTTAAGTACTTTGCGGGTGAAGTCTCGTTGTATTCCTTCCACCTTTAGTACATCAGATAGGCGTAGGTTGGAAAATAAGAACGAGCAGTATTCAACGATAGGTCTTACACAAACTTTGTAAAGAAGGATTTTAGATTCATTTTGATAGAAATTACGGAGAATGAAGCCAAGCAATTTCCGCATTTTGGATGCTTTGGCTGAGATGTGTTCAGAGAAATTAAGACTGTGTGAGTAATGTACCCGTAGGTCAGTTGCTGTTGCCAGTCTGGGCATGTGTGATTGCTAAGTGTTAGTTTCGTTTTGAGAGATGTGTCTCCTATATATAACCAGCCGCATTTTTCTGTGTTGAGCTCTAACCTCCAGCGTTTGCACCAGTCGTCTACCATGTTGAGTTCATGTTGGATTGTTTCCATAGTACTGCGTAAATCGCAAATGTCAGTTTTATAGATGACTTTTAAGTCATCGGCATAGAAGTAGGTCTTACCTGTGCTAAAACACTTGCATATATTGTTGATGTTTTATTTTTTTATTTCAACACATAGATAATGGTACAAAGAGGCACCAAATACATATGCGCCACACAAATCTCATTCGATATGTGTGTGAGGGCTGTGGTACTGCCCGGGTACCGAAACCGAAGCAGGTGGTTTTCTTAGGGGCCACACCCCGAGCCTTTGACCTAATGGTCTAACCCACAAGGCAGTGGAGCATCGTAAGGAAATGCAATCCCATGGTAGCCGGTGACCAACGATCGGTTCATACGCCATTTTTTCCCGCAGGATACTGGAGCCCATGTGCACCGTTGGTTTGTGATCCGGTTAAAGCGCCGGACATTCGCTTTTCGTCCTCTCATTTTCGTAAACAACACCCCCGCCACGAAAAGGCAGTAAGTAGGACTTCCCTGACAGAGGCTATATACGCGTGGCCGTGTGAGAGTATTTCGAGAGGAAGATCGGACTCTCCCCACTCTCGGCCGTACCAGGGTATTTGGGGGCACTACCCTGCACAACACCACTGGTTATTGGTCGTGGTGTAGATGTATTAGAGTTAATCTTGGTTATTTGATATCTGTTCGTAAGAAAAGACTTGATCCATTGCAAAAGGGGATTTATAATTCCAACTGACTAAAGTCTGTTGATTAAGAGATTGTGAGGTACTTTATCAAAGGCTTTCTTAATATCGAAGTATAGTATAATAGCTAGTTTCTTCTGGTCACGTATACGAGTAACCTCGTTAAAGAAGTCTATCAGACATGTACTGCAGGACTTTGTTCTAATGAAGCCGTGTTGTTACGGGTCTATTAGATCTTCCTTAAGTAGGTGATCAGATAGTTCATTTTGTATCACTTTCTCCATTATGCGTGATATAACTGGAGTGATATTTATAGGTCTGTAGTTTTCGACCAGGTTTCCCGATCTTGATTTGTGTTTGGGAAGAACACACGTTACCTTCCATGTTTCCGGATATGTACCTGGCTCTAAAGATAATGTGAGTATTGAGTAATAGCGTCCGTATGTCCGGTCCTGACATTTTATAAAGAATCGAAGGGGTCATCGGCACCAGAACTCTCATTTGGCCTAAGGGTTTTAATGGCGGTATGCATACTCCTAATGTCGAAGTTTATGGTACCAAGATTGTTTTTGCTGATGCACTTTATTTTTATATCTGGAGCATGAGATGTATTCCCATTGTGAGAAAACCATTCACTTAATAGTTCACATATGACGATTCGGTCATTATACGTCACTCCATCGTGCAGTAAAGAGTGAATGTTGTGATCTGCGTTCTTTCTTATGCGTTTCGCGAGACGACATGGGGCTTGGGCTTCAGATGCAGCAGTCAGCGCGGTACGTTCCTCTACCTGTTTATGCTTGTTGTGTTGACTTTGTACTCCAAGTACAGAGTATATCTGGTTCAGGGCACTGAAGTCTTTTGATATATAGTACGTCCTTTTCAATTTCCGCAGTTTAGACCTAGTTTATTGGCTTATATAGGTAATTGTTTTGAAAGCGATTTTAGAGGGTATAGTAGTGTCTAGTACAGATTTGGTGGTGGTATTGAATATTTCTAATGTTTCTAAGAGGTTATCACTGGTAAAGAACCTGCTCCAGTCAGAGTGCCTTATTAGAAATCGGAAATCTTCCCAGTCAGCGTTTGCATAATCTGTATATTGGGATCGCGTGTTTAATGTCTTTAATTTGTTGCATATGGCAAGAATCGGAAGGGTGCAGAGGACTATTTTATGATCGCTGTTGTGAAACTTTTCGCCAACCACCATTGATGTTGGTGTGACATTATGACAGAATATCAAGTCAAGAATGTTGTGATTCCGTGTAGGCAGGTGTACATGTTGTTGCCAGCCGAGTATGTTTAAGGACCTAAGTATGCTTTCAAAGCACAATGGGCCAGAATGTGTCGTCCAGTTGATGGTGGGAAGGTTGAAATCACCACATACAATTTTGTAAGTGAAGTCAAGCGAGGCAGCCTGAGCAAATGACTCACTTATAATAGTGTCATTTGAACTAGGAGTGTTAGGAGCTCGATATATGCATCCGATTAGTATTTTACATTCATGAGTGTGCACAGTAAGCCATATCGATTCAGGAAGTTTACTGAGGACGTGGTCGCTATAGATTTTTGCTCTCAAATTTTTTGATACATAAACGAGACAACTACCACCCTTCTTGGTTACTCGATCACAGCGGAAGAGCTTATAGGTGTTCATTTGTAGAAATGTGTCTGTGGTGTCGGAGGAAAGCCAACTTTCCGTTATCAAGACAAGTGAGGGGTTGTTTAGAAGTAATAGGGTGCGTAGGTGAGTCATCTTACGTTGTACAGATCGAGCGGTGATTAACATGAGTGTCAGGTAATGTGACTGTTTATGTAGTAGAAGGGTATGATATAAACACAGTAGTTTGTCTGTTTTGCCATATCTTACTGCGAAAATGTTATTTTTTCTTAATTATTTTTGTTACTAATTTGACAATATATACATAGTCGTTTGTTCTTGTTTTGTGTTCATAAACACGCCAATTAAACTGTTTGCGTATTTCACGTCTCCTTTATTTCTATTCCCTTATTTTCTCCATTTCCTTCTTTAAACTCAAATTAATATTCTTCTCAATTACACAGACCCGATTTATTATTATTAATATTGTACTATTATTACTCTAAATTTTTTTAATTATGGCAAGTATAATGCTAATATTATTGAAAATTGTGTATTATTGCATTTTTTGAAGAAACCCGAAATGGTTTCTTCACAACACTTATGTACCCATAAGATGTTTGTGAATAATAATAGTAATAATAATAATAATAATAATAATAATAATAATAATGATAATAATAATAGTGAGATGGGATAAATAAGGTATGACTACTTAGACTTATGCTCTCTAGCTAGGTCAGAATTTTAAGCAAGTATATTCCAGGAGGTTAAAGAAAACAATGGGAAGCATGGCATTCAGTGAACATAGGATTGTGTAAATGTAGATGATTCAGAAGAGCTGAAAGTTTAGGATTGTGTATTTTTAAAAAGTTAGAAAGGAAGACGGAGTGTTCGAGTATCAACCGGCTAGCTTCTCTAGTGGACTCCCATTTAAATTAATTGTCCGGTATTGGTTGCAGTGGGATTTCTCAGTGGGAAATGAAACGAATTCTAGGTCACAGACACAAGTCAAAGGGGTATTTGGCATAAGAAATTAGCATCAATGCCATTAGTTCGTGACAGAAGCTATTCGTGGGTCAACTAACTGCAGTTTGTTACGTGGTCGTAAGGAGAAATTTGAAAGTGGTAACATTTTTTCACGTGGTTTAGAAATTTTCCGACTCGTCTTTTTGTAGGCTGTATTGTATTGAGGTTATAATCCTATCTTGTATATCAGGTGCATTTTACCCCATGAAAATAATTTTGTCGAAAACTTGTGTTACACTTAAATTAACTTCTCAGATTCGTTTTATCTTCACTATGCATATATGACTCATACATAGTGATATTTCGTTATCCTTTTCACTTAATTGATTGAGACTTTCATAGCATCACTGCAAACTATAACTGCACAAACATTTATTCTAGCGTTATATCTTACTGCGATAATGTTATTTTTCTTAATTATTTTTTGTTACTAATTTGACAATATATACATAGTCGTTTGTTCTTGTTTTGTGTTCATAAACACGCCAATTAAACTGTTTGTGTATTTCACGTCTCCTTTATTTCTATTCCCTTATTTTCTCCATTTCCTTCTTTAAACTCAAATTAATATTCTTCTCAATTACACAGACCCGATTTATTATTATTAATATTGTACTATTATTACTCTAAATTTTTTTAATTATGGCAAGTATAATGCTAATATTATTGAAAATTGTGTATTATTGCATTTTTTGAAGAAACCCGAAATGGTTTCTTCACAACACTTATGTACCCATAAGATGTTTGTGAATAATAATAGTAATAATAATAATAATAATAATAATAATAATAATAATAATAATAATAATGATAATCATAATAGTGAGATGGGATAAATAAGGTATGACTACTTAGACTTATGCTCTCTAGCTAGGTCAGATTTTTAAGCAAGTATATTCCAGGAGGTTAAAGAAAACAATGGGAAGCATGGCATTCAGTGAACATAGGATTGTGTAAATGTAGATGATTCAGAAGAGCTGAAAGTTTAGGATTGTGTATTTTTAAAAAGTTAGAAAGGAAGACGGAGTGTTCGAGTATCAACCGGCTAGCTTCTCTAGTGGACTCCCATTTAAATTAATTGTCCGGTATTGGTTGCAGTGGGATTTCTCAGTGGGAAATGAAACGAATTCTAGGTCACAGACACAAGTCAAAGGGGTATTTGGCATAAGAAATTAGCATCAATGCCATTAGTTCGTGACAGAAGCTATTCGTGGGTCAAGTAACTGCAGTTTGTTACGTGGTCGTAAGGAGAAATTTGAAAGTGGTAACATTTTTTCACGTGGTTTAGAAATTTTCCGACTCGTCTTTTTGTAGGCTGTATTGTATTGAGGTTATAATCCTATCTTGTATATCAGGTGCATTTTACCCCATGAAAATAATTTTGTCGAAAACTTGTGTTACACTTAAATTAACTTCTCAGATTCGTTTTATCTTCACTATGCATATATGACTCATACATAGTGATATTTCGTTATCCTTTTCACTTAATTGATTGAGACTTTCATAGCATCACTGCAAACTATAACTGCACAAACATTTATTCTAGCGTTATATCTTACTGCGATAATGTTATTTTTTCTTAATTATTTTTGTTACTAATTTGACAATATATACATAGTCGTTTGTTCTTGTTTTGTGTTCATAAACACGCCAATTAAACTGTTTGTGTATTTCACGTCTCCTTTATTTCTATTCCCTTATTTTCTCCATTTTCTTCTTTAAACTCAAATTAATATTCTTCTCAATTACACAGACCCGATTTATTATTATTAATATTGTACTATTATTACTCTAAATTTTTTTAATTATGGCAAGTATAATGCTAATATTATTGAAAATTGTGTATTATTGCATTTTTTGAAGAAACCCGAAATGGTTTCTTCACAACACTTATGTACCCATAAGATGTTTGTGAATAATAATAGTAATAATAATAATA